TATAAGCACTACCTTGTTAATTAGAGCCGTGGTTAACAGCCCAAAACACAATCTTCATTAGACGCTTCATGACAATAATGATAAGCAGTTTGATGACTAAAAAAAAGGAATTAAATGTAAGGGTGTTTTGTTTGTTTTTACCATATTTTAACCTATGCAAATACAAGGAGGAGGCTTGTTAATAAGTTAGACATTTATTTTTAAAAACCCTTCTCTCAAACGGCCTCCAGACACTTTACAATCAAAGTAAAAGTTCTAAAAAATTAAAATAATAACACATGAACAGCAATTCATTAAAAAATTAACACTATATGCTTTTTAGTAATTGTTGTCTGCACAGTCTTAACTTCCATACCAAGCATATTTATGGTCGTTTTCTTCAAAAGGACTTCAAAATCAATAATAGCATTTATAGTTATTGATGACTCTAAACCTAAATTTCTATTTTCAAACTATGAATCAGCTCTCATTGTCGATTAAATAGATAAACTACTGCATGAAATACGTGTTGATGTTCCATTCTGGCACCTGTCATCTCATTTTGATTCAAGCCATGAAAGACAATCATTCTTCACAGAATGGCCGTGATGAATGATTGTCTTTGAGGCTGCCCAGCTCTTCACTGAAGTACCTCTACCCATTAACCACAGAGGCAGAGCGAAAGGGACCATTGATGTAATTCAGTGTAAAAACAAAAATGACCTCACAACAAAAAACCAATAGAGTCAGTGTCAAAACTCACAGAGACACAATGAACTCAATTTTGAATTATCTTTACTCGTGCACAACGACAATCAAAAACAAGCCTGATTCAAATCATTAATAAGCCGGTCTTCGAACCTCGTGGGATTTAGATTTTAGAGAGCTGAAGCTAACTGCACATTTCTGACCAGGGTGTCGAAGCTGACCAATCAGAGCTCTTATGGAGCAGCAGACCCATTTATCTAAGCTTTTCGAGATAATCTGTGAATATGCAGAGACAAACAGAACTGTTCTGGCTGCTTAATGGCGACTTTATGGGCTGGGAGAAGATAATCATCCCTACTGCATTTAAGAGGTCATTACAATGAATGATCAAGTAATGAGCTTTGAGTTTTACTGGGATGTTTGAGCAACTCCTGCTGGTCACTTGAGCTCTCTAGTGGCTTTTATTTTTTGGGAAGAATCTAACCCTACATGGTGGGAATCAGGCTCCTCAGTGTGATTTAATGGTGATTCAGAGGGCCCATCTGTGTGAATACTCTGTACTTTAAAAGCAAACACCTAAAATTGATTACACAACAATAACTTACTTAATAAAGCAAGAAAATAAACTTTTATTTAAAAAAATAAATAAATCTGTTTGCAACACTAAATTCACAGCTTTCATGCAAAATTTGCTCGCAGACTAAATCTTCTTGTGAACAACAGTGCTTATTCAGAAATAAAAATATAAGTATAAAGGGCCTTGAACCAGTGGGTTGTTTCCTGGCTCTGGTTTGCATCCCCCTAAGGGGAAAACTACGGATTTCAAATATCAAGTCAATGTGGAAGTGACAAAAATTGCAGTTCCCCTCTCATCGGCTAGGGGACAGCTCCAGAAAGGAGCATATTCCACTGACTATCATGTTAAGAAAAGCAAACTTCACAGCAGAAATAAACATATTTACAGCCTGGGTCATAACACTATTTTAGGTTTAATGAGTGAAGTTTACTGTTATAACAACTGTGAAGGGGTTGGATTTTTTTTGTAACTCATCTGTTTAGATGGAATTAAAACGTGGAAGACTTATGGGCGTGTCCAGTTGATTGACAGGTAACAGATGAGCCATCAGTGCTAGTGCTAGCAGTTTGCCTGGTTGCTTGCTTCAGGAAAAGCCTGAGCCTCGGCCTCACGTTAAACGTAGGGATGGACCAAAAATTTGGCTGCATACATTTTTCTGCCAAAAATGACCCAAAAGTGTATTTTTGGTTTTCGGCTGAAACCATCGACATAAATATACTGGACATCTCCTTTCCATAGGCTCCAATATCACGTTTTTGAGGCCAAATGGGAGGTGGCTACCACCGCCATTTTGACCGTGTCACAGGTTCCGTCAAGTCCAGACAATTCCACAAAAGGGAAGAGAGGAGGAGCTGAGGGTGGGGCTGTAAGGCTGGGATCAACTGACGACACCCGGTCGAACTAGCTACAAGCTAACCTGAAGCTAACCCTGGCTAACCCAAAGCTAACGCGGAGGTGGGAGCTAAGCTAACGGAGGTAGCAACCTAGCTACAACGAGAGTAAACTGTGCACAGCACCAGAGCTTCTGAGTCAGAGATACGCCGGGCTGACCGCTGGGTAAAACCGGGTGGAACACAGAGGTCTCCAAGACCTCCACAAGCCGGCAGCCGCACAGCAGACAAGCGCCGCTACGATCTGAGATGTGCAGAGCTGCCGCTGGGGAGAACCGGGTGGAAAGGTTTCCATCCCAGAGCTCCACAAGCCGTCAGCCCGCGCAGCAAACAGGAGCCGCGATCAGACAGAGATGGGAGGGGAGAGCCGGGTGGAAAACATCGGTCTCCCGAGAGCTCCACAAGCCGAAAGTGGGAACCCAGCTCCACCAACATGTTATATTTCAACCCATTTTCTGAAGTGCAGCATTATGTTAAATGCACTGGTTTTACCCTATTACATTTAAATTTCATGGTTAAACAGTACATGTTAAAATCTAAGCTCAGCTCGGCAGTGACCTAAAATACATAAATATAATTTTACTTACCGAAAAAAATGAAGTGGAGACTCCTTGGACGCTCTATTAGTGCAATTAATGCCACAGCAAGTAATTTTGTCCAACAATTGCACAAATAATATCCAAACAAGAATACACAAACACAGAGACTCAAAATCCTGGAGCAGTTTCCAAGCCAGGCCAAGGCTCTACTGAGGCCTTTCCACTGAGCTAGCTCTGTGGTCACGTGGGTCGGCTGCTCATTAATTATACAGAATTTTAGGCTTTTAATACAGTTAAACAGAAGAGTGAGAAAAAAATTCACCCCCCTCAGAGTTGTCATGAGTGTAAACTAGATAATTTAAACCAAAAACATGTATTGGAACCAGGCTGTAAACATGTTTATTTCTGCTGTGAAATTGGTATTTTTAACATGGGAGTCAATGAGGATTTGTTCGCTTCTGACCCCAGCCCCCAGCGGATGAGGGTGGAACTGCAATTTTTTTCATTTCCGGGTTTGCCTCAATTTTAGAGCCGCATTGTGGGGGCTTGGCTGAAACACCAAAATCACAGAAACAGGCCGTCGGGTGAACTTCGTTTTCGCCTCATCTCGCTCCACCATCATGTGGCAACTTGTTCTTTGCCTAACAAAATCAGTACATTTGTTCTGATTTCAAAAGTACAAAAGTTTTCCCCCTTTTAATAATACTGTTTTATTACAATCGCTGGAATATGCACATCAATTATGAGAACCGCTGTTTACTTCCAGTTTCTACCTCGTCTGCCCGACTTTTTTTTCTTCTCCTTTCACATTCCTGCTACGTTTGTCACTATTAGTGGTGTTTTCACCATCCTTTCTACACCCACCATGTCCTGAACACAGTGAAATAAGCTTTGGCTCATGTGTGTGAAAGGTGTTTACTCTCATGAAGCACACAGACCCTCTGTTGCTGCAGCTGCAGTGTCACTTTCTTTCTCATTGGATGAGTGAATATCTTCATCAGGGACAGAGGGTGAATATTACTCTTTAGAATCAGAGTCAGCCATTACCAAAGAGCTTTTTCAACAATGAACAGACCTGTCAGTCAGTGAGTTTCTCCTCCCTGATATATAATAATATTCACCCTCTGTGTGCTCCGCTGGTCTCCTCTCCTCAGTCGGGAGCAGTTTTCAAACTCAGTAAACTCAGAAAATTTAAAAAGAAACACACCCAGTGGTGTTGTTCAGCTTGAAGTTACACATCTCCACTATCTTCAGGTGTAAAGTAATAACTTCATGAGGGATTATATTTGCAGCAGTGGCTCGTTAAACGCTACATTGCGACTTTGGTGTTTAAAGTGTTAATTTTACTGTCAGCAGATTTTAGTGAGGTTAGTACACATCGTAGCCATAAATGCTATGGTTCTGATTATTGATGAAATACTTTTTTTCAGTGTTTCATTCGGCCAAGAATTCTTCTTTCGGTGCATCCCTAGTTAAACGTGATGCAGCCAAGGAGGCAGAGGGTAGCCGAGTCACTCAGCTGTTGGATTTTTTTGCTTAAAGCACATGACAACCTCCATTAGCTGTTTTTTAGTTCAGTTAGCTTGTAGCTACATCGGCTCAGAGTGTGATGGGTGTCAATCATCTTCCCTCATCCTCAGAGCAAAGCTCTCAGCTACATTTTTGACGTGTGTTTTAGTCTCAGAAAAAACCTTGGTCACCTGCTTTCATTCAATGTAATGATCATTTAATAATCATTTATTGAGTTACTTTCATTATCATACAACTAAGTTACACCTTGGTTCTGAATATAAGCAAATCTTTTTTCTACAGACAGACAGAAGCTGTTATAATTTCCATATTCCACCAAACTAAAGCTTCAGCTTCATTAACTAACAGATCAGTGAGTGCAGCCTCAGCCAGAAAGAGTGACAACACACACCTAATAACCATGAGAAGTGACAAATAACAGAAATGCAGTGTCCAGTGTGTGCATGGGTGCACTCTGAGAATGAAAGAAGTGCAGTCTTGCAGAATGAGTGTGTGATAGATCAAACGGGAAAAGGTGATACAGCCTGCAGCTGTGGAGGAAAATAGGAAACAGATTGAAAGTTGTGGGGAAAATGTCAACAATGGAAGTGTGTAGAAACTAAAAGGACAAGCAGAGTGAGACAGCAGAGAGAGAGAGAGAGAGAGAGTGTGAGTGTGAGTGTGAGTGTGAGTGTGAGTGTGAGTGTGTGTGTGTGTGTGTGTGTGTGTGTGTGTGTGTGTGTGTGTGTGTGTGTGTGTGTGTGTGTGTGTGTGTGTGTGTGTGTGTGTGTGTCTGACCTGTGAGCACGGCCTTAGCGGATGGTTCAGCCAGGTCCAGGGCAGACTTGCCGTCGGTGTTGCGGATGTTGGGGTCAGCTCCGTGCTGCAGTAACACTGTACAACAGGGTAGACACAGACAGTAGCTGAGTTCCTGAACTGACATGCAAACTCCTCGACACACACCTCCTCCCAGTCCTCTCCCTCCTGCTCCTCCACCTCCTCCTCTCCCATAAACCGCTCTGCCTGAACTTCCTCCTTTTTCCCCTTCTTCATCTTCCACCGGTCCTCTTCCTCCACTGGCTGAGTCTGCAGGACCTCCAGGCAGCGTTTCTGCATGTCCTGCTTCATGCTTCTCTTCTCCTCCTCCTCCTCCAGCTGCTCCTCCTCTGTTGCTAGTGCTGCTCCCAGATGCCCCTGCCCTGCGAGCCATGCCACTGATGTAAACAGACATGCCAAAACAGAAAGCAGAGAGCCTACAGAGGAGCACACTGCCACAAGAAAAAAAAATTGTGGAACTGATTAAACGGCAACGTGACAAGCCACAAAAGCCATCACTCTTCCATGGAGGAGGGAGGGGGAGCCTCGGACCGAGCTAAGAAGATGAGTGAAAAGACGAGTGCAGGAGGAAGAGGCTGGCAGCTTCCGTTAATCGAGGCATCGGCAGCGGTAAACAGCAGTGAGGCAGCGCGAGTGGAGAGAATCTCGCCTCTCCGACTGACTGAGCGATGCAGCGGAGAGGAAGTTGAGAGAGAAGAGGAAAGGAGAGAGAGGGAGGAAGGGAGGAGATGAGGACAAAGAGGATAGAGGACAAAAAAAGAGGGGAGGAAAAGCAAAAACAGCTGGATTTGATCATGTGAAATAGAGAAGCGAGAGGAGAGGAGAGGAGAGGAGAGGAGAGGAGAGGAGAGGAGAGGAGAGGAGAGGAGAGGAGAGGAGAGGAGAGGAGAGGAGAGGAGAGGAGAGGAGAGGAGAGGAGAGGAGAGGAGAGGAGAGGAGAGGAGAGGAGAGTTCTGTTTCTTGCTAACAGGTATGAGCTGAATAACAAACTCTCCCTGCACTCAGTTTTGTTGTAAATTAGCTCTTTTGAGGCCACCGATGTCAGCTCTCTCACTGCCCTCCTCTCCTCCATAGTGACTGTCAAGCGGCTCCCACGGCTCATGCCCTTTGACTCACTTGCACTTCATGTTTCGCTGCTTAAACCCACCAGAGGAGGAATGGAGACAACCGGGCAGATATAATATGCACACATGCTAGTGTGCATAAATTACTTCTGCCCAAGGGCTGACGCAGACCTCCGTCACCTCACAACAAAAATATGATTTAGCTCTGCACCATTCCCCCTCCGCCCAGCTCCCGCAACAGACACCAGCTGTGAGAGGTTAAAGCCCATCCTGGTGCATTACTTTAGAACGCACAAAGGAACTGAAAACATCAGACAAGGTTCAGGAATAACAAAAGTCCTCACCCTGTTTCCTCAGTTTCACTCACAACTGTCTACATCTGATTCTGGCTTGGGTTTGTCTCCAGTGATTCCCGTAATAGCTGCTAAAGCCTTCGCCAAACAACCCAAATCCCCTCGTTTTTTGTGCAGGATTACTTTTCAGGACAATGTCAGATTTGCAGTCTTATGGCTGTCTGTGATGTGTGACAAGGCAGAAGGTAGCTGACAAACACAATCAACTCAAATATTCAGATTGCTTTTCTATTCTGGTCTCAGATTAGGCTTTCATAGTCGGAGACTAATGAGATTTAAAAAAAGAGAAAAAGTTCTCCTCTTGTAAAAGCGACACTTTCAGATTGGAGAAACGTTAAGATGCTGATTGGATTTTAGTTTGGAAAAATATCTCCCAAACTAATTGAAACATCTTCAGATGATCAGTAAAGATCTGCTAAAACTGTGAAATCACAGTTTTAGTGTTTTTAAACTAATGTGATTTTTTTTCATGATCAAAAAAAAAACATTACGTTTTGTCACATTTTGTGGAAACGGGCTCTTATTTTGCCATGCATTTCAAACGACACACACTCCCATTCTTTCCAGAGTCTAAGCTCAGCCGCATCGTGGGTCTAGTGCAGATAAAGATGGCAGAATAAAAGCAAAACACAAAGGCAGTGTATGACACTCATCCAAAATTACATTTGATCCCCACACACTCTGGTGCAATATTCAGAGTTTCTGAAAAAAAATTCTCATCGATTCCTTTGCTTGGACATCTGGGCTACCGTAGAAAATACTCTCTGTTTTAACAGCAGCGCTGCCTGTCTGTGTTTGCTTCATATTATTAAGTAGAAATTGTAGTTGAACTTTATTAGACTGTGTTTGAAACGGTTTTGGTGTTACACAAATATTCCTTTGATTCCTCTCCTGTTACACTTTCAGGTGGTCTATAATGATTCTACTATGAGAAAAGTAAAGCTCTCCCACCAAACAGCACAATTCTGCCAGCTGCTGTAAAACTGTAACTGCAGTCTCCTTAACATCTTCCAACCCCCGTGAGTTGTGGCGGTAGCCTCCACTGAGCCACGTTCTGTTGGAGGTTTCTTCCTGTTAAAGGGGAGGTTTCCTCTCCGCTGTCGCTGCATGCATTCGTAGCATGAAGGATTTCTGTAAAGTCTCTGACACAAGTCAGTGACTTGATGTAATCTCTTGGGCTCTCTTACAAAGGACATATTTATCTAATGGGCCATTCCCATTTGTACCGGGTCGGCCCGAACCGGGTAGCGTAGGTTGTTTACATATCTGGGTGGCCTGGTATTTTTCCGGGCCAACCAAGGCTCATTCTCAGCCCTCTTCTCGAGGGGGTCTGCTTCAGGCCGACCAGGGCCAACACGCCCACTGCTGACAGCAAATTCACACCTTCCATTAGAGCAAGCCTCTGATTGGTGGGAAGAATCAGCCCACATGGGCTTAAGGCAAGGATGTGTGGAATCAACCGGGCCAGGCTGGGGCCGACCGGGGCCGACCCGGCCCGGGCCGACCCGGTACAGATGGGAATGGCCCATATCTGGCATACAGAACTGATCTCAGTGAACTGAGAAGTAGGTTCAACTGTAATTTTTACTATGTGAAGTGCCTAGAGACAACTCTTGCTGTGAGTTGGTGCTGTAAAAATAAACCGAACTGAATAATAATAATAATAATAATATAATAATAATACATTTTATTTAAAAGCGCCTTTCTGGTCACTCAAGGACACTGTACAGAATAAAAACACAAATCATTCAGTAAGCAAACATACGTAAACATGAGCAAACAAGGCACTCTAAAATTCAAAGCTGATATGTGGTTATAAAAAGGTGAGTTTTGAGTTGTTTTTTGAATTCTGTGAATGAGCTAATGTTCTTGACGAGAGGGGGAAGGGAGTTCCAGATTTTTGGAGCGGTGCAGCTGAAGGCTCTCCTCCCCGTGGTGCTGAGATGAAAGGAGGGCAAAGAGAGATGAATGGAGGAGGAGGACCTGAGGGAACGGGACGAGGTGACGATGTGAACGAGATCTGTGAGGTAGTGAGGGGCGAGGTTATGGATGGCCTTGAAGGTGAGAAGGAGAATCTTGTAGTTAACCCTGGTGTGCACTGGTAGCCAATGGAGTTGTTTGAGGATGGGGGTGATGTGATGAGAGATGGGAGTTTTAGTAATGATGCGTGCTGCTGCATTCTGAACCAACTGGAGCTTACGGAGGGTTTTCTGAGGGAGACCTGAGAGAAGAGAGTTGAAATAATCGATATGTGATGTAACCAGACTATGGACAAGAATAGAAGTAGAGTGGACATCAAGGGAGGGGCGAAGACGATTAATGTTACGAAGATGGAAATAAGCTGACAATGTGATGCTATTGATATGAGATTGGAAGGATAGTGTGCCGTCTAGGATGACACCCAGACTCTTGACCTGTTGAAGAAAGACTGCTCTCCCTTGCCCTGCCTCCAACATGCCTCCATCTAAAAGGCTAGCTTATCCAGAGTTATAGTTATGCTGCTATAGGCTTAGACTGTTGGATGACATGCTGACCACTTTCCACTCGACTACTTTCTTCTACAGTGTGCTTTTTAACTGTGTTATTTCCTGCTATTTCAGCTATTAACTTTATTTATTCTCTAAGTGTTTTTCTCCCCAGAAGAAGCTACAATGGTGTTCTGCTGAGCTGTGGTGACCTCATGGAGGGGGCCATCGCCTTGAACAGTGTTATTAACCACTTAAACATTTTCTCTCTCTTGATGGTAACATTTTACTTTCTTTGCATTGAATGTGCTACTACTAGTTTACCCGTTTAATTATAGATTCACTAGGATAAATACAATAAAGTTTCTCTCTCACCAAATAGAATATTTACTAAGAAATCACAATGTAACCATAGAAACACTACTTCAGGGTTTCCCCCAGCGCTTTATAAGCCTGGCGGGCCAACAGGCTTTGCTTGCCCATCCGCCAGGCTAAGCGTTCTGCCCCGCCCGCCTCCCCGACCCTACCGTGTATGCCGACACGAACGGCACAGCGAAACTAGACCCCTCCATCAGCTGATACTGGTGAGAAACAGCAGCGGAATGTGTGCAACCACCCCACCCCCACCCCCGCTGTCACAGAGAAGTGCTGCGGAACGGAGCGTGCAACACCCCCTGCCCCGCTCTCACGGAGAAATGCTGCGGGACGGAGCGTGTGATCCGCTGACACGAACGGTGCAGCAAAACTAGAGCCCTCCATCAGCTGATACTGGTGAGAAACAGCAGTGGAACATGTGCCCCCTACTTGGTATATATGTTGTGTGTGTGGATGTGTGTGTGTGTCTGCTCTGTCTTCTCAATCCCCAGTGAGTCGTGGCGGATGGCTGCTTATACTGAGCCAGGATCCTCTGGAGGTTTCTTCCTGTTAAAAGGGAGTTTTCCTCTCCACTGTCGCTAAATGCTTGCTTAGTATGAGGATTGCTGTAAAGTCACTGACACTAGTCAGTGACTTATGCGAATTTGCTGGGTTCCTTAAACTTTTTACTGATTGGCTTAAAGGGGCATTATGGAAGTTTGACAGCCAAAACATGTATAGAAATAATAAATTCCTTCTTCATACATTCTCCTGCAATGCGCTGGTCCTGTAGAATGAGCCCTGGCATTTTTACTGTGATT